AGGCACAATATCAGCATCATGGATTGTACCGCCATACACACTTTCAGCACTCACAGTCCGAGAAAAAAGGCCTCGCACCCAACATCATTCATCACACAGTCAGTAATCACATGTCCGTGAACGCCTCGAGCCATTCCTGCAGCTCGCGCTCCATGTGGGTCGGGGGTGCGCGGCCCTGCTGCAGCTCCGCGCCCGTCTGGGCCAGGCTCTCGAGAATCATCGGCCTGATCGTCGGGTCGAGGTGCAGTAGCAGCTTCTTCTTGTTCTGGTCGTAGCAGCGGTCCATCTTGCAGAATTTGATCTGTTCGCACTTCGCGTTCCTACGCGTTGATTGACCCCATCGCCTCCTTCCTCTTCATCAGGCCCACCAGGAGGCCGCCGAAGACCCAGAGGTGTGGGGGTCCGAGGCTGTGACCGCGTCCAGCTGCTGCCACCGATTCCGAATACTTCGTGCCCATCTCGCTCATCTTGGTCGCCTCGTGGCTGTTCGTCTCGATCAGGATGCAAGCGAACGCCACGCCCTCCACGTTCCGCTTCGATTGGCCCAGCTGCAGCAGGAACTTGAGCATCAGCACCTGCAGCTGTCCCCGTGCGCCCTTGTTGCCGAAGTCCGTCTTCTTCTCGCCGTCGCCTCGGGCGCGTACGCGCCTGTCCTGTCTGTCGGCTTCCTTGCCTCCACCGCCTGATGCTGCCGCCGCCGCCCCTTCCTTGGCCGAACATCGCCATGGGGGTACGAACGCAGAAAACTCTGGGGCCGCGATGCGTCTGGCACCGGCGCACGAGAGGAGGCCTGATGAAAAGTTGCCACAGGCAGAGGATGAGGAAGATGATGTTGCACGACGTTTTCGTTGTAGATGTCCATGGATGCGAAAGTTTCGTTGCAAGAATGGCACTTGATCGTGTTGGGTGCATTCAGGCACCACGGACATCGAGAACGGCCTATACGACACTTCAGACTATCCCAAGACGATCGAACGTGTTGTCGAGCGCTATCCCTGGTCGAGAATGTCGATTGACACCACGGGCACTGATTGCATATCACGCACGTAAACAGGGGGTTACGCATACCATGTTCGCCACCACGAGGCTGGAACATGTGTGAGGTAAGGGCCCCGTGGGAGGAAAACGTTTGGCTGCGCAGGGCCCCGTTCTCGTCTCTGAGCGTGCAAACGAAGGCCGTGAGTTCTTCTTCCGTCGGAGGCGCCACCGCACGAGCAGGTCCTCGCAGGTTCTGGAAAAAAGCAGTCTCGCGTTCCGTCAGGATAGCTGCCTTGAGAATCGACGGGTCGACCCGAAGCCATGCTTCTCGTACCTCGTCGTGATCAAACAGGGCGGTACACGCATAGTTATGATCGCCCCATTGCTCGAAAAACTCCTCGGTGCCGCTGATGCCGAGCGTACTTCCACAGGTCGGTATCTACTTGGTGCGCCAGAGGTGGGCCATCACGGGTGAGGCGGCCACGAGGGTCCAGGGCAGGAGGTCCATCATTGAGGGTGCCCCAGAGAGCCGCGATAACCGGGGCGTGGGACTTGGGGTCACGGGCCATCCTCTGGAGCCAGGCGAACCTTCTGGAAGCTTGTGCGCACATACGTAGTAGGAGCCACTTTCCACCTACGCCGAAGGACTGCGTGAGGAAGGCAATGAGGATGGCTGCCGCTCCAGTCTGTGGCCTTGCCCCTCTCCAGAGCTCTTCAACACTTAGCTACGATTGTGTCCACCTGATTAGTCATTTTTGCAGTGAAAGCGTAGGCTTCATTCGCCGACAAACCAGCTTCTTGAGTTTGCTAGATATCCGGCTGCCCCACAGACTCCCCATCTTGGCCCACTCCGCCCGCATAGCTGAGTATCTATACCGTAATTCCTCCATCGTTGCCAAGTTCCAAGCGTGCCTACTCCCCAAAATACCGAGCCCGTGGTAAAACCTTCCCTTCCTCGGTAGGCTGCTTAAACCCCTTGGTCTCCTGAGAACGCCGGAAGCACGGTACACATGGTTCATTTTTTGGGGGGCCAAGATCCTTTCATTTCTAATTGTTCTATCCTGGGCCTCTTCCTGGCCACTAGGGGGCTGGGAACAATCAGAAACGAGCACAATTAGAAATGAGCAAGATTAGAAATGAACGACGTGTACTCGTGGCGCCGTCGAGCTTGCGTGGGAAGATGCCACACTGCAGAACACTGCAGATCAATAGACAGGCCTGCAGGACGCGACGATCGCCAAGCGTGAGACGGACGCTGCACGACCGTTGCGGAAATCATCGGTTCCTCGCTCGATCCCATCATTCCCCACACCCGTGCCGAATAACCAGATTACGAGTATCCTTCCAAGGTTCGTCCCCCCCATCCACGAATCCCAAGGAGCGGGCAAACAGCCATGGAAGTTTGCTGGCCAATCCTGAGGTCGGGAAAGCAATCCTCGTCGTATAGCGGCTCCATAGAAGCCCTTCCAGTAGGGACAAAATACGTGTATGAGGCGTCTACCTCCAGGTCCATGCTCCCCGTTCGGCATTAGGATCGGACATCCCCATGAGAGGTGGGCCAGCTTAGGTACTCGCTGCAGCACTCGAATCCACCAATGTATGTTTTTGAGGTGGTTGTATGCCTGCGAGGGAGAAGCTCGCCTACTCTCTCAGCGCCAAGCCCTAGTCGAGGCTCGTCGTCACGGAATACATAGCTGGCCTCAGCGGCCATGAGACAAATCTCGGTGGGTATGCTGCAGGCAGGGGCCGCTCGACGTGTGGGGCGCGTTTTTAGGAACATCATGGTACTTCGGAGATCACGTTCGGCCCAGAAAAGGTGTTCCTCGCGGGCTTCGTCGGACATCGTGGTCGTGTCGATCGCCTCGGGATTCCTCTCGAGTTCGGACGCGTAATTGATCCCCTGGGCATTCATACCTCCATCGCAAGGGGAACATGCCAGGCAACTCCTCCAGTCCTCCCGTGAAGACTGCGGGGTCGGTATACGGTACTTTCGCTTACGAGGGCCCCCACATCGGGTTGCGAGAAGAAACCATACGGTAGAGGGAAACATTTAGTGAACACCCCCCTTGCCCCCACACTCAAAGTTGGCACGCGCGGGGGAAGCTGCGGTCGAGGTGCAACTCAGCAGACCCACCGCCAACTTTGAACATTGGGGGGAGGGGGAGGCGTTGACAGATGAATGTGGCACGAGTGTTCGTTATTTAATCGCTTCCCTCATTCCGCCGGCCCTGGAGCGCTATTTGGGGCCTCTTGGGGCCGGCTTGGGGGCTTCTTGGGGGCTTCTTGGGAGCGTCTTGGGGCTCCTTGGCGGCGTATTGGGCTCCCCTGGGGCCTCTTGGGGGGCTCTTGGGGGGCCCTTGGGACGGGAGGGGGGGTAGTCGTTGGCAGCCCCCCCCTCGGAGTCCACGATCCTCGTGAGGGGTGGCGAAAAATAGCCTCCCCCCTGGGGATCGCCCGGGGATCGCCCGGGGATCAGCCGGGGATCGGCCGGGGTACTTTTCGTCCGGGCCCCCCAGGGGCCGCCCCGCGCGGGCGAACTAGAAATATTGTTAAGTAGTTACCGGAGATCTTAGCACGCCTCTGGCCCGTTGGGCCGGCGAATTCGTTCCCGAGGCCTGTAGGGGGTGGCCCTCGGCATATCGGCGCTGCCGGCGGGCCTCGCGAGTGGCACGCTCAAGCCGACGTCCGCGCTCTGCGCGCTTTCGGCACACAAGCTGCCGGGGAACAACACGGGTGTCCTGCAGCTCCTGGTTCTCTGGAAGAAGAATGGGCCCTCCTCCTCCTCCTTCTCCTCTTCCTCCTCCTCTCCTCCTCCTCCTCCTCCATTTTTTCCTCCGCCTCCTCCTCCTCCTCATCATCCCCGCTCTCGTAGGGAAGCCTGCCTGGGATGAGGGTGGTGTTTCAGGACTCCCTCATACTCCACGCCCTGCTCGCCAAGTCTCGCGCGTGCCTCCGCGCAAGTTCGCGTCGTCGCTCTCGAAGTCGCACAGCCTAGGGGTCATCCTCCTTGCGCGCCTGGACGAAGAACTGCTGGGCACACGAGCGGGTGAGGTCCACCCACTTCTTCAAGTAGCCATCGATGTCGCCTGATGTGCCGCTCTGCGTGAGCTCCGTACATTCGTCGAACGCCACCTCCAAGGCATTTTGGAACTCAAGTCGGTCTGTGCCCTCCTGCAGTGCCGCCGCCAGTTTGTCACGATCCCATCGGAAAGTGTCGTGTTGCTGGCCGCGGTGCTGGTAGGCAGTAAATTCAACGATGATCGGTACGTGGTCTCTCGGCAGCGCACTCGGTATCAGTTGAAGTCGTCTCGCCGAGCTCCATGGGATAGAAACACAGCGCCCAATCTGCTCGTGAAGGGCCGTCGGCATCAACACATTATGACATGGTCCACAGTGCTGGTCGCGCCGTCGTAGTGATAGTACGTCGGTTCTGCCTTCGCGGAGATGCTGCCGACGTTCATCAGCTCGTATGGTAAAATAAGATCCTCCCAGATCTGGTCGCCAATGACGTTCTGGTTGCCCAGGTGGTGGCCACCGATGTTGTCGGCCTTGTCAGCGTGCTCCACGTTGAACTCAGGTGGAGTCACGATCGATCCGTTACGAAGTCCAATGCCCGTGTTCATGTCGCCCAATGATGATCGGTGTCGAGCATACTGGTGCCGAGCTCACTTCTTGCGTAGCCCACTGCACCAGTTCGTGCGAGCCTTTCTCCAGGGCCCGGCTCCTGCGCGCGCGGTCGTCCTTCCGTGGGGGCAGGCACGGGAGCACAGTCGTCAAGTCAAGGGGACCACGCACTGTGCGCACTGCCAGCCCTCGGCCCTGGGCGGCGGGCGGTGGGGCACTGATCGTCCGTGTACCTCTGCGCGTCCTCTGAGACACCGTCAACATGCACCCCGCAGCTCGATTCGAGAAAGGTGCAGCAGGCCATCATGCCGACAACCCATATCCCCCCCCGTTCGACCTGCCATTCTTGGACAGGGGAGCCTGGTGGAGCGTGGAGGCGGGTGCCCGCCAGGCCGGTGATGTCAGCGCGGATCTCTCTCCGCATATCAGCAGGTCTGTTCACTTCGGCCAAAGACATCGGACTGTAGAGCACCAATTTGAGAAAAGAACCCGTGGGCCCACAAGGGCGCGTGCGTCCCGGGACGCCTCCGCCCCGAGATCGTGCGTGGGCAAGCAAGAGGGAGTGTATTATGGAAGATGGCGCGGTACAGTACACAGATTCTGCATTCTGTGGGCCGGGGGGGGTTGCCGAGAGCAGCTGCGGATGAAGCGCGGGAGAGGGAAGGGGGATGTGCCCCGCGCGCGAGGACGGGGCCGACGGAGACGCCGAGGAGATGGTCGTGGGCTCGGACGAGGGGTGCTTGATCCACCTGTCCGGGCTCGGGATCAAGGCGCAGATGTGCACCTTCCGCACCGAGATGAAGCAGGACGCCTCACATCCCAGGCCCTGCGCCCCGCCTGCTTTGCGCCCCGCCGGCGTGCGGGGTGCTCTCGGGAGAGGGCGGGTGCGGACCACCGCCGGGCATCCGCGTGGCCCCTCCGAGTCAGCTCGTGCTGCGCACCACCGCCGGGCCATCCGCACGCTCCCTCCCCAGGCCGCCTCGAGTCACGACAAAAATCACGACGGAAGGTCTGTCACTCTTTTCGGCCACTGGGGGCCCTCACGGGGCCTCGGGACCGGCAGACAACGATTCGGGATGTTAAGCGGGTCCCGGGGAATGCGTCGAGACCTTTCGGGGTCGACGGTGTGACAAAACCATGACGTCGAGGATCTGGGCCTGCGGGCATCCGCATGACCCCATCCGCAGCCCTTGGCGCTTGTGGACTCCAGGTCCGGCAGGGAGCCGATGTACAACAGGGCATGGGATCAGAGATGGCCCGTCGAGGCCCAGTGGCTCTCTCCAAACCCCGAGCAATGACGAAGCCTCCTGATCTGGTGACAGGCTCTCCAACAGACATGATGAGAACCCTTTGTGCGCTGTGTGCAGTGCTTTTATACAACTTCTGGCTGAGGCAGTCTTGTTGGGCTTACGTTCTAAGAACGCCGCTTTTGCGATTCGGGCATTCTTCTGTTATGCGAGAAAGTCGTGGTGGGTCTATAGAATATGCCAGGATGGTCGGTCCCTGCCAAAGTCTCGACGTGTTGGCCGTGCGGCTGGTGGCCGTATCAGGTGCTCCCACTCCCCTATTGCGCAGTCGGCTAAAGCTGTTTCTGGATTAAGAGTCGACCAGAGCCTGACTTCCAAGCGTCTCCCATGCAAGAGGGCAGAGCCTTTTCGACGGTGACCTGGTACTGGGTGGTAGGTGAGCAGAGCGCGTGACCTGCAAGGGGCCTCCGGCTTTTTGGGCTACAACTGTCACCAAAGCCCTCGCTCCGAAGCCGCACGACGGTCCTGGTGGACGTGGTCGAAGAGTCGCTTGTGGTCTTCCCCTGGAGGTCCAGGGTGAGCTATGTGAGCGCGCAGTTCAGGTACCGAGTGTGACGCTATATTTGTGGTCTTGTTTATCGTAGGAGGGGTATGCGTCTCCTGCTAGGGCGATCGCCGACACGGCCAACCCAGGCTGGTGTCGTAACATCTTCCGGAGAGCACCGAGCTTCAAAAGACGACGACAGCGTGGCCATGCCAGGCATCTGCGCAGCACGAGGTCACGCGGCCGCTCAGTCGCCGCGTTTGTCGGAGGCCTTGAAAGCTCCAGAGTGTAAGCGCTGGCAGCACAGACGGCGTTCGGGGTCAAGCCGAGGGTGGCGCTGCACGTGTCCTGGCGCGGGCCTGGCGGGGTGTGAGGGTCCCTTGAGCCTTTCTGCCCTTGCACTCTTCGCTCACAGTCGAAGTCCTCCCGAGTTCGCACTGCCTGTGGTTCTCTGGTTCTGGTGCTGGCACCAGGAGCTTGCTCGAGCCAGGGGGGGTCTGAAGCAGCAGCAGTCCTTGGCGTGGGCACCTCCAGCACCGCCGCCCCGGCTCGCTTTCCCCGGGCCGCTCCCCGACGATCTTGCCCCATTGCGGTGCGATGGCCTGTCGGTGCGCTGCGGCGTGTGCAGGAAAAACGCGTGCACGGCGGCCTGGCCGGTCGTGTCCTGATCTTCCACAGCGCGAAGCAGGAGTACTTCAACATCTGGTCTGCGGGGTGGAGGTCTGGTGCGTCGCAACTGTTGCCGGGCGCTTCGCGCCAGCTTTCCACCGAAGACCCCGACTGGAGACATTGTGCTACGAAGTCGTGCTCACTTGCAATACCAGGCTGTCGCGTCCCACACTTGTTCCTGCCTGTCTCTTTCGAGCCGTGTGACTTCTCCCCTTGCTTGCCCGTGTCGCAGTGTCAGCATCAAGCCGTTCCCAAACAGCAAGGTGACGGTGATAGGCAAAAAGACCGCCGACCATTTTGCTGGTGTGGCTTCCTTTCTGCACTGCTTCTTCTCTCCCATGCCCAATTTCATAAGATTCGCCCGTTCAGGAGCTTAGTGTCCATGCATGTAGTGCACATTTTGGCGGATACTAGGTTCATTGCTCAACACCCTGCGCTATGCATATGCGGAGTTTGCTTTCTATCAAACCTGAGCTGTCCAGGACCCAATCGCTCTCGCATGTGCATTGTGGCTGCAGACGTATGAACATCACAAGTGACGTTTTTTTTCCCAAGCGTGGAGCGCTTCGTGCTCACACCTACCCACTCGGAGGTCAGCATGGCTCAGCAAGAAGCGGGTGAGTAGACGCACCATTCTCTTTCTTAGGGGCGTGTCAGGCGACTGGTGGTGTGTGACGTGTCCAGTGGGTCAGCGGCAGAATGGCGGCAATATCACCAGGTTTTGATGCAGTGGAGGTGCGGAATCGCAGATTGGAGCTGAGATAGTTCATCCAGGGCCGCACGCCAAGGGCCAGCCATTCTTGCAGTCTCCCCGCCATCATGCATCTAGTGCTCGTGTCTTGGTTCTGACATGCCAGCTCGCAGGATAGAAGAGGCCGAGTTCTTCGAGTTGGAGGACGTCGTTGGATCCCTCCCAACGCCCCGGTGTCTCACTTAGGACATTGGGACGAGCCCACGTCCTGTACCATTCGCGTATTCGTGTTTGCCGATTCGTGCTCAAACCTCAGCTTGTCCAGGTTTCGCACAACGCCAAGGGTCTTTAAAGTCATCGTACGCAGATGTATATATACTCGTGTCGATATATATATATATATATATATATATATATATATATATATATTCCTATTCTTATATTTTTATTACCCAGAACCCCCCCACCCACCCACCCCCGGACCCTCACCCCTAAACCGGATCCTTCCCCCAGGAACGCTCTGGACGCCGTTTCGGACGTTTCGGCGGCCCCCTGGACGCCCTTGGAAGAGGTTCGGTGGCCCTTCCGGGCCTCCCAGGGCGCCTCGCTGGGCCTTGCGAGCCGACTGAAGGCGATTAGAGGGGTCGTCGGAGAGGCGCAAGAGAGACCCAAGGCAGCGTAAGAGCGCTCCAAGAGGAACCTCGATGGTCTGAAGACGGCCCAAGAGGCCCCCAAGACACCCCAAGAGGCCGTTAAGAGAGCCCCGAAGAAGCCAAAATCGTCACATTCCCTCAGGAAATACATTTGTGCATATTCGCTTTTTGGGTCTTCGCAGCGTCCAAGACGGCCCAATGGGCCCCCAATCTCGCCCCAAGACGGCCCGGGAGGCCCCCCAGAGGGGTTGAAGGCGGCCCAAGGGGGCCCCGAGACTGCCCCAGGGAGCCCCGAGACTGCCCACAAGATGCCCAAGATGCCCCCAGAAGGCTCCCAAGAGAGACCCACGAAAGCCATGGGATACCTCCAAGAACGCCACTGGAGGCCCGCAAGAGGGCCCTAGATGGCTTCAGAAGACCTCTGGAGGGCCCCAGCTCCCTAAGGCGGCCCAAGAAGCCCCCAGGACGGCCCAAGAGTGCCCCAGGACGGCACAAAAGAGTACCAAAAACGACCAGACGGCGTCCTCCTACGAAATACATCAAGCTGACCCGACGATCTTGGTTCCACGTTTGAGGCTCGAGGTTTCAGTAGCTACCCGATCGAGAGAGACAGGCAATGGATCTAGATTCGAAATTCGACGATCGAAGATTTCCTGAGTGCCTGGAGCCCTCCAGGCATTCGGGAAGCGATCAAAAATCGATGTGTTCGGAGCTACTGTGACTTCTTCGGAGCGTCATGGGAACGCTCCTTATTTCCTCAAAGGACCTTCGCGCGCGAAAAAATCAGCATGATTTCCCCACTCCTGCGCACAAGCGTGCCAGCGCATCGTCCGAAAGCGGTGTCAGCAGGCACCCGGGATATCGGAAAAATGGGCGGGTCGCCCGTCCAGGCCTCGAGGTCCTCCCTGCTGAAGCAAGCGATGATTTATTGCTTTGCCAGGGAAGCGTCCGGAACAAGGCGCATGGCGCGAAGCGCCAATGCAGTCTTGTATACACATATATATATAGAGAGAGAGATGCATCGAAGACGCCTGCGGCGAACCACCGCCGCACCCTGCCTTGGGAATCTCCCATGTGGCCGAGCATTGTGGCAAGATCACTGCCAAGCTATCGGACCATGTGTTCCCGCAGCCGTTGTGGAAACCTTTCGGGGCACACTTGGGGGAGGATGGCGGGAAAGATCAGGATGATGATGATGATGATGCTGTTGATGACGATGATGATGGTGGTGATGATGATGGTGGTGATGATGATGACGATGACGATGACGATGATGATACTGATGATGAACATGGTGATGATGCTGCTGTTGATGTTGCGCGTATGATGATGATGATGCTGATGATGCTGATGATCATGATGATGATGGTTTTGATAATGCTGCTGATGATGATTATGCTGATTTTTATATATATATATATATTATTATTGGTATTATTATCATTATTATTATTCTTTTTCTTATTAGTATTAATATTTTAATTATTATTATAATGACGATGATGATGATGATGATGATGATGATGATGATGATGATGATGATGATGATGATGATGATGATGATGATGATGATGATGATGATGATGATGATGATAAGGAGGCGAGAGTGAGGAGGAGGAGGAGGGGGAGGAGGAGGAAATGGAAAGTATGGAGGAGGAGAGAGCGAGGAGGAGGAGGGGGAGGAGGAGGAGGAGGAGGAGGAGGAGGAGAAGGAGGAGGAGGAGTTGGATCCGTCCGAAGGCAGTTTTCAGGAGATGTCTCGAGCGAAACGCTTACTTTGTAACAGAAGTGTGAAACAAACACCCAGGGTTTTCTACTCTGTTAGTTTCTTGGGCCATCTTGGAGGTCATCCGAGAGCGCTCCGACACGATCTTCGATCCATTATTCTGCAGCATTGCATATTCAGAGGATGCCTGCAGCGAAATCGTCGTCTTTTTGGAAGATCCGAAGGTGAGGCCATCGATTTCAACATCGCCTTGTTTCGAGGGTGTCTCGTGCGAAACGCTCATTCGGATCATAGGGCGTCTTGGGCTTCGATTCCCAATCTCGCAATTGTTCGAGAATGTTCATTGCGAAACGGCCGTTTTGGGAGACGTTTAATGGCACAGCGGGCGGGCCATTCTGGGTGGCGGGTGCGCTGGGCCGGAGCCCCAGGGGGAGTGAACGTAAACCAAACCAGTAGGATCTAGCACGCCAGGCACTCCTGTCATCCCGCCACAGTGCCTGGGTTGTGGGGATGAAGCCTAATGGATGTTCGTTGGAATCTCGTGGGAGGCTTCTCGGCGGCCTCTTTGAGGCACTTTGGTCGCCTCTTGGGGGCCGTTCGGGTGCCTCTTTTTGGCCTCTTGGGGGCCTCTTGGGGCCTCTTGAGGGCCTCTTGGGGGCCTCTTGGGGCCTCCTGGGCGCCTCTTGGGGCCTCCTGGGGACCTCTTGGGGCGTAAGGCTCGAATTTTCGGTTCGTGCTCCCTCTTTTGGGCCCCTTCTGGGGCCGTCTTGGGGCTCTCTTTGGCCGTGTTGCGTGTCTCTGGGGCTGTCTTGGGGCCCTCTTGGGCTGTTTTGGGGCCCGCTTGGAGGCTTCTTGGTCCGTCTTGGGGCGGTCTTGGGGGCCTCTAGGGCGGTCTGGTCAAAGCGACAACGCCAAAATCCATGAAAAACGTAAAGGCATCAATGATTTTGGCCTCTTGGGGCCCTCTTGGAAGGCCTCTTGGAGGCCTCCTTGGGGCATCTTGGAGGCCTCGTGGACCGTCTGGGGGCCATCTTGGGCGTCCTGGGCCGATCATTCTGCGACTCGGGGGCCCTCTTGGATCGTCTTGGGGCTCTCCGGGTCTGTCTTGGAGCCCTCGTTGACTCGAAAGAGTCACGAGCCACGCCGCGACGGGCAGCGGGAAGCCCCGAGAGATTTGGCAATTCGAGCTCCAGGCCCCTACGATACTCTTCAGGAGTGAGGACTGAGGCCCAGGGGATCGGGCAAAGGACCTGAGGACACGCCCACTCCGTGCCCAGAGGCACCGTCGCGCACATGTGTATGTATGTACGTACGTACGTACGTACGTACGTACGTACGTATCTATGTATGTATGTATGTATGTATGTATGTATGTATGTATGTATGTATGTATGTATGTATGTTTGTATGTAATGTATGTATGTATGTATGTATGTATGTATGTATGTATGTATGTATGTATGTATGTATGTATGTATGTATGTATGTATGTATGTATGTATGTATGTATGTATGTACGAGACTGCGTAGGTGTTTCGCACCACGCACCTTGGTCCTTCAAGCTTCGCATATGATGGCACTTGGCGTCGTCTTCTGTGGCCTTTGAAATTTGACCGTTTCCTCTCAAGCCCCTTTACCTGTTTTTTTTGTTCTCGCCCTCGATTCTCATATTCGTGCGCCACCAGGATTTCTCTTGGGGTGCGTTTGTATTCAAATTTCGAGGCGGATCCCTTGACGTGGCGACGCGAGCTCCACCCAGAGGCTCCGAACGGCAAAGTTTCGCTACAACCAGAGCAAGCGAGTGCAGATATGAAGGATGTGGCGCACGCGGGAGCTCAAAGCATTGAAGCCAATTCCCAGATAGCTCGCAGAGAGCTATTAGCTGTCTGCGAGCTCTGGCTTCTTCATCTGCAACCCTCTTAGCCTAAGAGGGTTTCCAGATCAAGCAGCCAGAGCCGCAGGGTAGCCCCGGAGCTCGTTCCGGCGGCGGGCAGGCATCCCCGGAGCGGCTTGCTTGAGGTTGCAACGTGTTCCGGCAGGCCCTTTACTAAGCGTTTCCCAATACGCGTGCCCGGAAGCTCTCCAGAAGGTCCTTCGGAAGCTCTCTCCAGGTCCTTCCAGAGGGCTCCGCCAGGCCGTTCCACGCCCTTCGGGCGCCCTGCTATCCAGGTTCTGGACTACACAGGTGGCTACGGAGGCGTGGGCGCGTCCACAGTTGAAGAACATGCTCCCGTGAAGGACGTGGAGAGCCCTCGTGTGGCCCACGCTGGCCCGCTCGTGTCCCAGGCTGTCCGGGCGCGCGGCGCGAAGCAGTGGCCAGTCATGCGGGCGAGCGGATGCCAAACGAAGCAACGCGTTGCCAACCAACGCCGCAGAGAGCGAAGCAGTGCAATGTCACGGGATGCCGCCTTGGCTTTGGAAGTACACCGGAAGTCGGGCTCGCCATGGATTTGCAGGGGGTGTTGCTGCTAAACGCGGGGTTCGAGCCAGTTCGGTGTATTTCGTGGGAGATCGCCTTCTTGAAGACGCACGGCCATGCAAAGGAATGACGTTCGGGGTCCTTCGCGTGGCCACCACACGGGCTCGCTCCTTTGGGCAGTCTTGGGGTCCTCCTGGCTGTCTTGAAACCCTCTTGCGGGCCCTTTGGGCAGTCTGGGGGCGATCTCGGAGGGTTCTTGGGCCGTCGTGAACGCTGCTATGACACAAAAAACGAACATGCTGAAAATGCACGTTTCCCACACGGAATGTGAAGAATTTTGCCTTTTGCGCCCCCCTCCTGAAAACCTCTTACGGCGTCTCTGGGGCCTCTTTGGCCGTCTTGGGGGCCTCTTTGGGCCGTCTTGAAGCCGTCTTTCGCTGTCTTGGGGCTCTCCTGCGCCTTTTCGACCTTCTCTGATCGCTTTGGGTCTGCTGGGCAAGGCCCGGCAAGGCGCGCGGCAAGGCGCGGCAGGGCTGGAGGACCTTTTCCACGGGCGTCTAGAGGCCTCAAAGCCCAGGATCCCGGCGTCTTGGGAGGCGCGGCATGGCTGGAGGACCTCTTCCAAGGGCGTCCAGGGGCCTCAAAGCCCCGGATCTCGTTTTTTTTCGTCGGGGGGGGGGGGGGGGTTGTTCCCGTCCCCCCGGCTTGTAACATTATGGGAAGAGGAATCTGTCACGTTTCATTGCTAGGGGCCTGCTTGCTGCCATCAGAAATGTGGCGCATTTCGAGCATCCGCCTTCTCCCCTGTGTCGTCTTCCCCCCCGTCAGACCCCGCACAACCTTTGACTCCTTGTGCATTCCCACCAGCCGATCCGAAAACGATTCCAAGGCGAGCTGTCGTGAGAAGGCCAGTGGTTGGGCATTCGTGAGACAACGATAGTCACCGGGCGCGCTCCACTACTCGCAAAATGCCCACTCGCAAACGTCCGAAAAACACACGTTCGCCTCGATGTAATGTATCGTAAATCCTCCGCGGCTGATCCAGGCCATTTGCGAGTAGTGACTTTGCGAGTAGTGGAACGCGCTTGTCTAGATAGGGAGGAACCTGTCCAAATGAAGCTGGGGTCAGCTCCTGCAGCCCCCAAGGACGGCCAGTCTGGGGACATCCTGGACGCCTGGACACCGGGGCGCCGCGGGGTGGAAATTACGACGGGCGCCCCTTCCCTGGCTAGAGCCTCCCCAGCGGGACCTCCTCCTCCTCTCCTCGGCGTCCCAATCTGTGGCGCCGATCGGGTTTGGAGCGTTCCCGTATCGAGGCTTCCCCCAGGGGTTGGTCATGTCGTGTGCTCGCTTCGTCCCCTCAGCTTTCCTCCTTCTCCTCCAAGTCTCTTCTTCTCGTCCCTTGGTGGCACTTTCTTGGTTTCCCTGCCTGGCGCCAGCGCCAACCAATGTGATTGCCACTGAGTTCTGCCCTCAGCGGTGCGATCCACTTGTTCAGCAGTTGCCCCCCCGTTTCCTCCACGAACATCGCGCTGAAGAAAACACACAACATCGAGTCTCGAGCGGGCCATCACCAAGACCTAGGTCAGTCGACCCTCTGCCAGATAACCTGCACCCACCTTGCAGGGTTGATCTGATGATGGTTCACTCGGTGGGAGGGGTCCTGCTTCCTCCAGGTGATTTCACACTCTAGGTGTTCAGGCATTGACCACCGAGCGTATCGCAACGTTCAGTGCCGCGTTTTCGCTTGAGCCGCTTGTTGTCAGGATGCTCTTCCCGATCGGTCGTTTGCTGTTCGGGCCATCCTTCTCCGACCCACCTGGCTCCCGCGATGATCCGTTTCTCATGACGCCGTTCTTCTTCTGCCCCTGTGCGCCATCGATCCTCGCCCTTGAGAGCCACTCCTCCGTGTCCCGTCGCCCATGCATTTCACCATCCATCCTGTTTCGCCTCCTCTCGTTTAGCTCTTCCCCTACAGTGGCTGCCCACAGCCATCCCACACTTCGTGAGCCTGACAAGGTGCAAGGAGAGTCTGGGGTTGCCCTTGTGTGTGCCCGCAGGCACGCCCGACGCTCCTGCACCCCTCATCGCCCCCTCGTGAGTTTTCGTAACTTCTCCCTCACCACCCCCTCCTCCTCCTCGTTCATATCACGAGTTGCTGCACCCTCCTTCTCTTGTGACTCGTTCCTGCTGGCAGGACGGCGACAGGATAGCTTTCACAGAGCAGCACATCTTTGAGCTCGAAATCCCCTCCATTCGGAAGGGCTGGCTGGGCAGAGCCTCACTCTTACTGTTGCTCCACCCATAGATCCCTCATCCTCGCTCCTCCGCTCCCTCCTTGCCTCCCTCATCTCTCCTCGTCTCTCCTCCTCTTCCCCTCCGTAGCCATTTTGGCTCAAGATGCCTTCTTCCACAGGGGAACACGTGGATACCGCTAGACCGCGGCTTGCTTTCAGTTGTTTCCTGGCCCGATCAGTCCGCCCTGATCCGAGGCCACTGCACCGTTTCGTGAGCTCCTGCAGGAGCAATTCCCTCACTGCCAGGCATCGAGAGCGACGGCTTGGCGGTATCGTACCCCATGGCGTGCTGCTGGCCGTGGCCAGCGTGGTGATGGTGCTCGTGGCGGTCGCGGCGGAGGCTGGCCACGTGGCGGTGGAACCTACTCGGTGTGCGCTGCCTGTGCCCACTGGGAGTACGACCGATACGGCAATTGGTGCTGCTCAAGGTGCGGAGGCAGCTACCGCAAAGAAGGAAGCCAGGCGACAGCGACAGGCGGCAGTGTGCAGGCTGGGCAGGTTGCGGATCTTGCGCAGCAGCTCAGTGCCCTGGCCGCCCAGAACCCCGCCATGGCTGCGACCCTCCACGCAGCCATTGCCGAGGCTGCCGCCGCGGAGGCTCAGGCGGAGGCGCCGCCAAAGCCTGTCAGCGCCAACGGGATGGATAAGAAGGTGGCGGCTCGCCAGACAGAGCTGTCCAAGGAAGTCGAGAGGGCAACGCGGGCAGAGCGCATTGCCCAAACCGAAGTGGAGGCCCGCCTCGCGGGCGTTGTCAAATATCGAGATGCTCTTCAGCAGGCGGGGGCTGCCCATGCTGCCGCTGTGGCAGGCACTGCCGGATGCCAGCAGGAGACGAGAGCCGCTCAAGAGGCCAAGCAGTTGTTCTCCCCCGACGCGTCTCGTGAGGAGTGCCGGCGCGAGGAGCGGCGCATGGCAGAGGAGGCTGCTGCTGCTCGTCGGCGGGAACCTGTGGCAGCCGCGCCTGGGGTCGAGCATGCTGGAGGAGGTGCAGTTCCGCAGGCTGCTCCCGCTCATGTTCATGCTCGTGCTGCTGGTGGCGAGGGCCGCGTGGGCGTCGCTGGCGCCATGCCGCAGCCTCCGCCCAACCTGGCCACCACGGGTGAGCCTGAAGGACGTGCGTGGTGTCAGTTGCACGACCAGCAGTATGCGTTCTGGCAGGCGGCGCAGCAGTCGCGTGCGGCACCCGATCGGCAAGATGATGATATGTTTGGCGCTGCTTCTGACCTGGGTGCTGAGCGCCTCGGCGAGTTGCGTGAACTCAAGAAGCGAGCCATTGAGAAGCCGTTGCGTGTTTCAGAACGTGATCGTTTGGAGGAGTTGCTATGCACGCAGGCGAACCAGAAGGCTGTCAAGAGAGCTCGGGTCGTGCGGTCCGACGCGGCGGCTTCCTTCAACCGCATGCTGCAGCAGTTCCAGCCTCAAGATGCTGCTGCGTTCCCTGCCCCTGGCGCTGGACCCGCAGGTGGAGGAGTTCACGCACCGGCGAAGGGGCTGCTGGTGCAGGCGCTGGCGCAGCAGGCGGAGGGGCGCGGTCTTCCTAGCCCACCTGAGGGTCGTGAGGATTGCGGCCCTGAAGGAAGAGCGAGGCCGAGGCCCTAGAGCCGCCATCGCCTGCAGCCCGCGCCTCATACTGTTGAGTTGCTGCTTTGCAATACCACTAGTCGGAATGCGGCTTCACTCTCTTTTGCCCATGAGGTGAAACCAATATGTGACGAGTTTTTCGTTTGCGAACGTCGGATGCATATTGATTTCTGTAGGCTTCCGAAGAGGAGCTGTGATCAGATGACGTGGCGCCCCCACTTCACCCCTGCCACCCCATCCCCTGGAGGAGTCCTCATCATGGTGGGGTAGGGGCTGTAGTGAGTAGAGGGTTGTCTTTTAGGCTTTTCCGGTCTTCGGACTCAGCCCTCCTGGGCCATGCTCTGGAAGCCATTTTTTAAAATATATTTTTTGGTTTTGCAGTTGGAAACCAAGCAAGCTGTCCATGCTGTAGGTGTGTGTTACTTAGATGACGGCCTGGGTGTAAGTGGGGTGAACGTCGATCGGTTGCGTGACATCTCTGAGTTTGTGGGTACGCTGACTGTTCCCTGGGTCCTGATGGGAGACTTCAATATTCCGATCACCGACCTCGACTTGAGTGGTTTTCCCAGGCTCGCCCGCGCGCGTGCCATCCCACCTGAAGGCGTTGAGTCTGCGTGCAGTCAGGGGATGGGTGCGCTGGTTGATTACGTGGTTGCATCCTGCGAGGTTGCCGACTGCCTGCGTGTTGCTAAGCATGATCCTTCCCCGTTCAATGCTCGTGCGTGCCTGGCAGTATCCCTGACTTGCGCAGTGGTACGCAGCCGTCTTTCCGCCCTGCCTGGGGCCTGATTTGCCTTGGACCCATTATTTGGGACAGGCTACTGGTCATGATTTTTCACCGCCCAGCTCTTTGAGTGAGACGTTACTGCCGCGCGTGCGTGATGACCTGTCGTCAAACATCTCAGTGCAGCAGTCGATGTGGGGCAGGGCCACCGAGAAGATGCACTTCGCCAGGGCCTCTGCTATGGACGCTGTCGCTCCTGAAGGTTCTAGAGGGGTATATCCTAGCGATCAAATGCAGCAAGGTTGGGCGACGGGGGGTGCGCGGGGAGTGTTTTCGGCAACCAGCGCTGCGTGCTTGGGCGCATGTGTCGCGGAAGTTTTGGGAGTCGGCTGTCGATCGCTAAACACTCGTGGAGTTTGTATTATAACTTGAAGGGTATCTTGGTTGGCCTTGCTCCTCGAGTCGGCGAGTTTCACCTTCCTGGAGATGTCAGAACCCCAGATTGGCGGCGGGCTCACTTGTCTAGCTTGCCCCAGGACCTGGAGGATCTCAATGTCGTTTCCGATGCGATCAGTTCGACCCTCGCTAAGGCGTGGGGCGCCGCGCGTGAGGACACTAAGGCTGTCGTGAAACGGTGGCCCCCCCACGGCGTTGCCTAGAGGCGCCGAGCGAGCGCATTCCTGGCTTAAGTGCGGCCAAGGCGCGGACCCGAGGTCTTGGTTGCACCAGCTGAGGTACACCAGCCCCCTGAGGAGATGATGCAATACCGAGAGGACTTCCGGGGTTTGGAAGGCCAGCGGGGGCCAGCAGGATCAGCTTTCTGGAGTTTTTGGGTGCCCTTAGACCTTAGGCCTTGGAAGCTTTGGAGGATCTTGAGCCGGTGGGCCCTGGGGATATTCAGAGAGCTGCGCGCCTTTTTCGTGGGGGCACGGCTGTTGGCGTCGACCAGTGGCCTCCTCGTTTGCTTGTCTCCCTGCCGCCAGATGTTGTGCGGGGCATTATTCATCTCCTCAACGAGTGCGAGCGTCGGCTAATGTGGCCGACCCGGATTATTTTGGGCATCGTTGCCTCGTTGCCAACGTCAGCTGGGGGCGAGCGCCCTGTTTGCAAGTGTCCTACTTTGTATCGTGCGTATTGCAAAGCGCGTGGAAGCTACATCGAGAATGAGGCTCTCGCCCAAGCGAACCATTGGGGCACTACCATTCGGGGTTCCTCTGTTCTGCAGGCTGCGCTTCGCCGAGAGCTTGGCCCCGAGATGGCCAGGTACCTCGGTTTGTGCTCCATCGGGGTCTACTGGGACCTCAAGAAATTATTTGATACTGTCGATCCCTGTCGCCTGGCTGGACTCGCCGCGAAGACGAGGTACCCCTTGTTCCTCCTGTATTTGGGGTTGCTGCATGAGGCAACTCGCATCCTTGAGGTTCAGGGGTTCCGTTTTACACCCATCCCCACTCGCGTGGGCATATTGCCTGGTTGTGGCCAACCCATGCCGTGGATTAAGATTTATTTGCGTGACGTTCTGACCAGGCCCATGCGTCGTTCCTGCCTGTGCGCGTCGAGGGCTATGTGGATGACATCGCGCAGACGCAGCTAGGCACGAGCGAGGAGATCCTTGCGTCTTTCGCGCCTGCCGCAGTGAATTTGCGTCACCAGCTGGAGGCGGCCGGCGCGTCCATCGCTGGCAAGAGTGCACTTGTTTGCGCCCGCGCAGGTCTCGGAGCCGAGGTTATGCAGAGGTTCATGTCAGCCAACTTTCCCGGCGAACTTCGGTCCGGGATCTGGGGGTCACGCCGCGTGCAGGCCTTCGTCGTAATGTGAGCAAGCTCCGCCGCAGGCGTGCTGTTGCCTACCGAAAAAACAAGAATGTGCAAGTTTTTGCTCGGCTTTTGGGCCGATCGAGTAGTTGTGCAAACCTGGGGTCCTGGCCGTGGGGTCGTGGGGCCACGAAGTGCTTGGGCTGTCCCCGGGGCAGGTCAAGTCCATGAGGGCTCAAGCCGCCGCGTGCTCTGGGTTGTGGGCCCCTGGTTCGTGCACCACCGCTCTCCTTGGGTTGTTGAGTGATGCGAAGGATGACCCCCGGATTACGCTCCGTTATGAGCAGCTCGATGGGCGGGCAATGGCTTGGACTGCACTTGGCCACAGACCCCGACGGTTGTGCTGATGCTTGGAATACGATCTCTGCTAAGATCGACCGTGCCAAGTACCGCTGGCAGATTGTCAACGGGCCGATGTCGGCCACTATTGCGGTGCTTCGCGATCTAGGGTGGCAGGCGCTGTCACCAGTGCATTGGCGCACGGAGGATTCTGGTTTGAGGTTGCATGAAGGAGACTTCCCCTTTTCAGCCGTGGGTTTCTCTGTTGAAAACCTGTTCCTCCCTCTCCTAGGGCCAGGCCTCGAAGCACTTTTGCGGTGCTGGCCTTGAAAGAGGTATTGATTTCACTCCTGTGCGTAAATTTATTGCCACGCTCTCGCGCGATGGCGAGCATGATTATGATGGGACCTTGCGACATGTTATCAGTGTGGGATCGTGGCCTGAGGATCGATTGTGCGCTGCTGGTTATGTCTCTGCCAGTAGGGGGCTTTGCGGCAAGTGTGGAGTTGCCCCTTAGACCCCGCTGCGTAGATATTGGCAGTGCGTGTGCAATCGAGACATCCCTGAACACGGTATTGAGATGACCGAACCCCTCTCCCCCCGGGCCATTGCTGAAACAGATAAAGTGGGTTTCTGGTGCCGTGGGCTCCCGTCGTTGGATGACTCCCTGGGACTTCTCCCCCCGCCCCAACGTCTTGTGTGGGATTGGGGGAGATGCATCGGAGGGGGGCGTATAAGTGGGGGTGTCTGGGGAATAGATGGGTCGGGGGGTAAGTTTTCTGGAGGCTGGAGGCTCAGGAGATGTGCCTGGTCGTTTGTTCATCTCGGACCTGACGGCATGATCGGCGCTACCCGGCGTTGATCCCTGCCGAGCGCGCGACAATCATCGCCGAGGGCCGAGCTGTTTGCGCTCATTGAGCTCTTGCGCGCTAGTGTTGGAGATGTGCGAGTTGATTGTGACTGTCTTCTCGTCGTGACGGGTGTCAGGAAGAGCCTCCGCTCCAAACGCAAATCTAGCATGCTTGATCTCTGGGCTGAATATCACCGTGCACTGTCAGAGCGAGGGGCCCACCCCAACTGATCTGGACCAAGGGGCACCCCGCCCAAGCCCTGGCCGAGAGAATGTTTTTGTCCTATGTTGAAGCGTATTTCCACAAAGCTGCTGATCGCTTCGCCGATTGGGCCGCGGAGAAGGCCCAGTTGAGCGAAGTCTCCGTTTCCCAGGTTGTGCGCGCTGATGGCCTTGCTGTCAAAGTTTTGAATTTTATTTTCGTCGGACCGAGAATGGGGTGGTCTCCGTGAGCCGCAGCGAACTCGCGGGATGGTCACCGCCTCCCTCTCCGAGCGTATTTGCAGATTGCGAGATGCAGGACGCGACCCTGATGTTCTGAGAGCTTGCATTACGTGTAGGCGATGTGGATTAGGCTACAGTCTCAGAGGACAGCTCGCTGGTTTTTGGCCCATGTCGTGCAAGCCCAGATTCATCATCCAGCAGCGTGTCCAGCTGCTAGGGCCGCGGGTGGAGAGGGGTGATCCTGGTCCCGGCCCGGTCCCCGATGCCCTGGGTCGTCGGATTTGTGTGTGTGTGTGTGTGTGTGTGTGTGTGTGTGTGTGTGTGTGTGTGTGTGTGTGTGTGTGTGGGGGGGTGCCCTGGACCACCCCCTGGCCGACCGCTGTCACCCCTCCCACCGACTGTCGGTCCTGCATTGTCTGTGGAGGACACTGCTCTGTCGCGCCTTCCCGCATCCTGAAAGGAGTGTGCGGTGAAGCCTCGAAAGCGGGGCGAGAGTTGCTGTCGCGCCTTCCAAGGGGGCTGCCACCGAAGTCTGGCATGTCTGTCCACGACAGAGGCTGGATTTTGATTGTGCGGCCTGCCCAGGGCAGGACCCCGGCCTTATAGAGAATTCGAATTATAATTATTTCGTTCTCTTCCCCTGCTTGGACAGCAGGGCCCCGGCAAAGACTCGGAGACAGCAGGGCCCCCCTCCGTCGGTTGGAGGCTGACGGCGTGGTCGGTGCCGCCACATGGGTGGGGTTATACATGCACGGGGGACCCCCCCCCAAGGACTGGCGGAGGTGGGGCCCCTTCTTCAGGCCTCGGAGGGCGCCCCTCCCAGAGCAGGGTGACAGGCCGGGGTGGGACTGGGCCTCGTGCCCTCCCTTGGGGATCCCAGTCCCGCCGTGGTTCACCTCCCCGCTGGGGTCGCAGGGTAGCGGTTCCCTCCGGCGCATTAGTTGCGCCAAGGGCGACCATCCACCGTTTGTTGAGGATGAACCCGCTGAAAAGGGCGGCTTCGACCGTCGGGCCCACTTGGGCTCGGCGTTCACCCAGCAGAAAAGACCTGACCCTTCCTTCGTGGACGGCCGAACCGAAGCTCCCTCCTTCCTCCTCCTCCTCCTCCTCCTCCTCCTCCTGTTTCTCCTCCTCCTCCTCCTCCTCCTCCTCCTTCTCCCCCGCCTCCTCCTCCTCCCCCTCCTCCCCCGCCTCCTCCTCCTCCTCCTCCTCCTTTTCTTTCTCCTCCTGCTCCTCCTCCTCCTCCTTCTCCTTCTCTTCCCGCTCCTCCTCCTCCTCCTCCTCCTCCTCCTCCCTCCTCTTTCCCTCCCCCCCCCCTCCTCCTCTCGTCCTCTCTCCTCCTCCTCCTCCGACGCCTCCTCCTCTCTTCCTCCTCCTCCTCCTCCTCCTCCTCCTCCTCTCCTCCCTTCTCCCCTCCTCCTCCTCTTCCTTCTCCTTCTCCTCCTCCTCCTCCTTCTCCTCCTCCTCCTCCTCCGCCTCCTCTTTCTCCTCCTCCTCCTCCTCCTCCTCCTCCTCCTCTTTTTCCTCCTCCTCCTCCTCCTCCTCCTCCTCCTCCTCTTTCTCCCCCTCCTCCTCCTCCTCCTCCTCCTCCTCCTCCCTCCTCCTCCTCCTTCCCTCCCGCCTCCACCTCATCCTCCTCTCCTCCTCCTCCGCCTCCTCACTCCTCCTCCTCCTCCGCTCCTCCTCCTCCTCCTCTTTCTCCTCCTGCTCCTCCTCCTCCTCCTTCTCTTTCTCTCCTCCTCCTCCTCCTCTTCCTCCTCCTCCTCCTCCTTCCTCCTCCTCTTCCTCCTTCTCCTCCTCCTCCTCCTTCTCCTCCTCCTCCTCCTCCTCCTCCCTTCCTCCTCCTCTCTTTTTTTTCCTCCTCCTCCTCCCGCCTCCTTGTCCTCTCCTCCCTCCTCCTCCGGCTCTCCTCCTCCTCCTCCGCCTCCTCCCTCCTCCTCCTCCTCTCCCCGCCTCCTCCCTCCTCCTCCTCTTTCTCCTCCTCCCCCTCCTCCTCCTCCTTCTCCTCCTCTTCTCCCTCTTCCTCCTCCTCCTCCTCCTTCTCCTCCCTTTCCTCCTCCTCCTCCTCCTTCTCCTCCTCCTCCTCCTCCTCCTTATCCTCCCCAGACTCCTCCTCCTCTCTCCTTCCCCTTCTACTTTTTCTCGTCCTCCTCCTCCTCCTCCTTCTTCCTCCTCCTCCTTTCCTTCGCATACTTCCTCCTCCTCCTCCTCCTCCTCCTCCTCCTCCTCCTCTCCCCCCTCCCCCGCCTACTCTTTCTCCTTCTCCTCCTCCTCTTCCTCCTCCTCCTGCTTCTCCTCCTCCTCCGTGGGGGATAACTTTTCCCCTCACCATTGGGCCCCAAGGGCATCGGTCCCCAGGGCGATGGACAGAGTCAGGGCTCGCATTTAGGATGAGCCTTCCAAGACAGGGGCTCTTACATGGTTCGGCTCTGGGCATGCCTGTCATGCTATGAGCTTCCTCGGCCTACAGATCTCCCTGACTCGGCACGCTCTGCGTGCCTTGCTTCTGTAGGCCACGTCCTTATGAATGGTTTGGTCTGTACCTGTGCGTGCATCCCCGCCTCGTCGACCCCAAACAACACCTCTTTGCAGTCGAGCTCACACCCTCCGCGCTCGCGCTCCCCCCTCTCCCCGGGTGCGGGCTGGCGGGGCGGCGCTCCCTCGCTGTTGACCCAGGCTGTCCCTCCCCCTTGTCTCCCCGCTGGTTTCTCGCTGGGGGTGCGGAGGGGGAGCGATGATGGTGATGGTGATGATGACCAGGATGACGGTGTTGGTGTTGGCGGTGGCGGAGATGATGAAGATGATGGTGGTTGTGGTGGCGATGGGACAATGATTGTGATGGTGGTGACGATGATGGTGGCAGTGGTAGTTGTGAGGTGAGTGCTGCTGCTGGTGATGATGCTGGTGATGATGACGATGCTGCTGATGATGGTTGGTGTTGCTGTTGCTGATGGGGAGAGGGTGAATGAGGAGGATGGGATGGCTTGAGGGTTGTCAACACAAGAACTCCGATTTGCTGGCATGCGCTCTGCCCATCCCGCTGCAAGTCTCCCAGTAGCTCGTCCATGCCATTCATTTTTCAAGACATGGTGCCAAAGAGAAGGTTGGGCACCGTCGTACTCGTTTCAGCTGCCCGCGACAGGCACCCGCCTGGAAGTTTGGCCACGGAGTAGTTCGTGCTGGGGGCAGGGAGAGATGCGCGCAGCCGCAGGGAGCCATGACGAGAAGGCAGGGGGGTGGGTTGACGGCGAGTGTGGAAGTGGGTGGGCGGCAGGATGAAGAAGAAGAGGCAGAGCATTATCCAAGACGAGCAGGAGCCCCCAGCGGCCGCCTGCAGTTGCGACGCCGTGCAACGAGCCCGCGTGCCTGCCGCATTCTGGCCCCTGTTCCTGGCGAAGGGGTGCCGTTGTGGACTGCCGTGTGTCATTCAACGCTCGGAGACGGGAGCTGATCTGCCCTTGCCTGGAGGCCGCGCCCCCTTCGACTCGAGGATTGCGTCCTCCTCGGCTCGCACTCGATTGGTTTCTCGCTTCCCCAGTCCTGTCTCGTCCTCCTCTTGTTGCAGGGATACCCGACACCCTCGGCTCGCGACGGCGTTATGTCGGCCTTCGGCTTCCGATCAGTCGCGGCTGCCCCCGCCTGGCCCTTCCCCGTGACCGCTTCTTCATCTCGAGCCGTCTTTTCACGACCCGGGGGCCTGGCGAGACCCCCCCCCCTGGAGCCCGAGAGTGAGCAAAAGCCTTCTGCCGTGATTCCGTCTGCAGCGCGAGGAGGGGGTGCTTTTGTGCCGCAGCTCGGGCCCCTGGCGGCCGCTCGGGACGATCTGGGCAGCCCTGGCACGCTCTCGGCGAGGCGCGCGTTCTTGTCAGGCATCCCGGGGCGAGGAAGCACGTCTACGAGCCCACGGAGAACCTTCCGAACACAGACACCGAGGCGGTCCAGGTCCAAAGGCGCGGCCCAAGCTCGGGTCCGCGCTTCCCGCGTCCCATCCCGTCCGAGGCCGGCGACTTCACGGACAGCGACGACCCGATGGCCGATGAAACGCGTGCGACCCGAGCTCGGGCGGCCGCGACGCCCGAGGGCGTCGCTGCCGCCCGGCGCCCAGCGCAGGGGGCGCGCACTCGCGCCCCGCCGCTCGTGCCAGGCGTTCGAGGCGGCGCTGCGGGAGCTCGAGGAGGGGGTGCGAGCCCCAGCGGCCTCGCCCGGGCCCGGGGCGGTCGGCACCGCAGGTCTCTGGAGGATCGGTGTGGGGACGGACAGAGTGGTGACGAAGACCGACAGCAGCTCCTGTTCATCTTGAGCAGGGCTCGCCGTCGATGTCCCCGCGGCTGCGGTCCACTTGAGACAGGCCGCCGGGTGCCCAACAGCGGCCGCTCTCGGTTTTGGACAACATGTGCTGTTCGGCAGCGCACCCATATGTTTTCCCTGTGAACGAACCGTTTGGTTGGTTAGTCAGTGGGGATTCGGGGTGACTGCACGGTCTTGGTGGACCTGGTTCATTCTCCGAAGATGTCTCGGGCGACTGGGGCCTCCGCGGTCCTAATACCGTGCGGTGACCAACTCTTTGGAACGGTGAGGCCTCTTGGGAACGGTGATGTCTTCTTGGGAACGGTGAGAAGGAGGCGGATTAGGAGGAGGTAAAAGAGGGAGAAGGAGGAGGAGGAGGAGGAGGAGGACGAGGAGGAGGAGGAGGAGGAGGAGGAGGAGGTGTGTGTTTCCGGCCCTGTGTGTGTTCCAGCTTCCTTCGTTCTTCCGCCAGCGCAGTTGCTCTGCCTAGCCGCCGACGTAAAACAGTGTTTCCAGCTTCATTGAGCTACGGAGAGGGGGACCTGCCAGGGTTGCTCGCAGTCCGATCCGATCCGATCTGGTCCGAGCTCCAAATCTTCGATTCCGATCTCGATCTCGATCCGAGCCGGCAGGAGTCGATGCCCCCTCTGGTTTGCAGGTCGCCGAGCCCGATCCGCGACGATCCGGTCCGTTTCCGTTCCGGTCCGATTCCGCGATTCGGTTCAGCGCAGACCTGCCTGACTTGACCCTGGGGCGTCCTCGGACGGGGCTGGGACAAGGATGGATGTGGACAAGTCCGTTCCTGAGCCATCCGGAACACTCTCTCAGAGCGTTCGGGAGCGTTCTGAGAAGGCCGCGGCGCCCGAGACATCCTCCAGAGCCGCTGCCCCGCGCTGGAGCGCCTGCGTCGGGTGCAGGCCGCGCTTCGGCCTGCAGGGGGCCGCAGCGGCGATGCGCGCCGCATCGCTGGGTGCCCGAGTGCAGCCGCCGCCCGGGCCGACCGCGCGAGCCGACGCGGCGAATGCCCCGCGGCTCGTGCAGTGCAGCTCGAGCCAGAGGTCGACTGCATGACTAATTCATCCCAAATTTGATTCCCTCGTCGAATCTTTGGGGAAGTGCGCAGACATGTTCCTGGATCTACGAAGATTCTACGCAGCCTCCGTCGGTGCCAGGCAGCCAGAGTAGAATGAGGCTCGTCTCCTCTCAACCCCGCCCAATAATAACCACCGCCCAGCCCCCCAAGCAGAAGCGAACGTGGCTGAGGCTAGGCGAGCCGCAAAAAAAAGGTAACAGAGCAGGCGACTGTAGAGATGAGGGGAGTTTTCAGGCTGGCCCTGTAGGCTGGCTTGTGGTGCGTAATCATGGCCTGTACTGCAAGCTGCTGTAGATTACAGCTGGGGGTGGGCTTGAGACATCGTGTGACGTCTTCCTTCTCCTCCTCCTCCTCCTCCTCCTTCTCCTCCCCCTCCCCGGTGACGATTACACCGATGACAGTTCGGATGCATAAAGACGATATTTGGTGATGAATATGCTGCTGCTGATGATGACGATGAGGATGTTGATGAGGATGAGGATCGTGTTGATAATGAGGACGCTGATGGCGCTGCTGCTGTTGATGATGCTGATGCCCATGCTCACGCTGATTCAGCTGCTACTGATGATAATGGTGCTGGTTAAAATGATGGCGATACTGATTATGATGACGATGATGATGGTGATGATGAGGATGCTGATGCGGATGATGATGCGGATGCGAATGCGGATGATGATGATGATGATGATGATGATGATGCTGGTAATGATGATCATGCTGATTATGATGATGATGGTGGTGATGATGATTCTGATGATGCTGATGTCATGGATTATGCTGATGACGATGATGGTGAGGCAGATGTTGCTGCTGCTGATGATGCTGATGATGACGAAGTTGACGATGATGATGTTGACGATGGTGGGGATACTGATGATGCTGCTGATAATGATGATGATGATGATGAAGATGCGGATGAGGCCGAGGATACTAGTGACGTTGTTGATGACGATGATGGTGATGTTGATGGTGGTGATGCTGATGACGAGGATGATGATGATGATGATGATGATGATGATGATGATGATGTGACGATGGTGCGTATGCAGATGGGTAGGATGAAGGCTACGATAACGATAATGATGACAGTGACGATGATGGTGATGATGCGGATGCTGTTGAGGCTGATGCTGATGCTGTTGATGATGCTGATGATGCTGTTGATGCTGATGATGATGACGATGAGGATGAAGGTGCTGATGATGACGATGATGATGACGATGCAGATGCAGATGCAGATGATGGTGATGATGATGATGATGATGATGATGATGATGATGATGCTGGTAATGATGATCATGATGATTATGATGATGATGGTGGTGATGATGATTCTGATGATGCTGGTGTCATGGATTATGCTGATGCCGATGCTGTTGAGGCTGATGCTGATGCTGCTGATGATGCTGATGATGACGAAGTTGACGATGATGATGTTGACGATGGTGGGGATACTGATGATGCTGATGATAATGATGATGATGATGATGATGATGATGATGAAGATGCGGATGAGGCCGAGGATACTAGTGACGTTGTTGATGACGATGATGGTGATGTTGATGGTGGTGATGCTGATGACGATGATGATGATGATGATGATGATGAGGATGCTGATGCTGATGATGATGATGATGATGATGATGATGATGATGTGACGATGGTGTATGCAGATGGGTAGGATGAAGGCTACGATAACGATAATGATGACAGTGACGATGATGGTGATGATGCCGATGCTGTTGAGGCTGATGCTGATGCTGTTGATGATGCTGATGATGCTGTTGATGCTGATGATGACGATGAGGATGAAGGTGCTGATGATGACGATGATGATGCAGATGCAGATGCAGATGCAGATGCAGATGATGATGATGATGATGATGATGATGATGATGATGATGATGATGATGATGATGATGATGATGATGATGATGATGATGCTGATTATGATGTGACGATGGTGCGTATGCAGATGGGTAGGATGAAGGCTACGATAACGATAATGATGACAGTGACGATGATGGTGATGATGCCGATGCTGTTGAGGCTGATGTTGATGCTGTTGATGATGCTGATGATGCTGTTGATGCTGATGATGATGACGATGAGGATGAAGGTGCTGATGATGACGATGATGATGACGATGCAGATGCAGATGCAGATGATGATGATGATGATGATGATGATGATGATGATGATGCTCATGATGATGGTGGTGATGATGATGATGTGAATGATGATGCTGATATGACGGTCACGATGACGACGATGATGATGCTGATGAGGATGCTGATGCTGCTGCTGATGATGATGCTGATGATGCTGCTGCTGCTGATTATGATGCTTACACTGACGACGCTGATGATAATGATGGCGGCGACGATGACGCCGATGGTGAGTTGGATGCTGATGCGGAGGAGGTGACGATGATTAGGATGATGATGATGATGATGATGATGGTGGTGCTAATGAAGATGCTGTTGCTGATGACGATGATGCTGCTGGTGATGATGCTATTAGCGATGCTGATGATGTTGCTGCTGATGATGATGCTGCTGATGATGATGGTGCGTATGAGGATGATGTGTATGATGACAATGATGCTGCTGATTATGATGATGCTGAACCTGAAACATATTATGATGTTGATGATGGTGATGGCGATGGTGATGATGATGCTGCTGATGATGATGATCATGCTGATGCTGATGCCAATGATTATTGTGATGATGATGCTGGTGATGCGGTTGAAGAAGATTATAATGTTGGTGATGGTGATGACGATGACGACGCTGATGCTGATGCTGATGCTGGTGAGGATGAGAATGCTGATCAGGATGATGATGATGATGCTGATGATGTTGCCGATGATGATGATGATGATGATGATGATGATGATGATGATGATGATGATGATGCTAATGCTGATGATGATGATGATGATGCTAATGCTGATGATGGTGCTGATGATGAGGAGGATTATGCTGATCAGGATGGGGATGCTGCTGATGCTGATGCTGATGATGATGCTGATGCTAATGATGGTAATGGTGTTTTGGTGATGGCGATGGTGATGGTGGTGGTGATGATGATGTTGGTGGTGGCGGCGGTGGTGCTGGTGATGCTGATGATGCGGGTGATGATGCGGAGGAGTAGGAGGCGGAAGAGGATGAGGAGGAAGGCACAGAACGATGAATCATGAAACGAATGGTGTGGAGGCGGAGGAGGAGGACGAGGAGGAGGAGTAGGAGAAGGAGGAGGAGGAGGAGGAGCATGATGAGCAGGAGAGGCAGGAGGATGACGAGGAGGCGGAGGTGCCCGACCCCCTTCTCTCTCCCCCTTCCTTCCCCCTCTGCCGCACTCTGCGGGTGGCTGAGGCCGAGATCGATGACAAGTGGAAGAAGGGGACCGCGGGGTCGTAACGCGCCCGCGCCCGCGCCCTGTGACCCCCCCTCCACCCTCTGCACTCCCTCCGGAGGAGGAGGAGGAAGAGGACCAGTGCAAACCCAAGACGCATCAGCGATTTTGCATCAAACCCTCCCTCCAAGTTCCCTCTTCATGGGTCCCAGAAGGAATGTAGGTATTTTCGTTGCGGGAAGTGGCCCATGTCAAGACAACCGTTTGTCAATCTCCAACCGTGCCAAAACACCTGAGACGTTAATGCCGCGGTTTACCATGACTACTGCGTCCTGACAATTCCAACTCGTGCCAGAACACCGTTCCTGGGACAAACCGCAGGTCAATGTGACTGCTACGTGCTGACAGTCCTCAGTCGCCCAGAACGCCATTTCTGGGACTTCGACTATCGGATTTCTGGAAACTGTTGCATACTTGTGAAACGACTGAGGCTAGACCCACACATTGAAACTGGACTGCCCGCCATCCTTGAAGCTGCTGCAAACTTTTAAGACACATGTGCGCGGCGCTAGCGCGAGAGCCGCATATTGAAAACGACCCGCCCTCCATCCGCGAAGCTGTTGCAAGCTTTAAGACGAGTTTGCACGTCGCTAAGGCGAGAGCATCATTTTGAATACCACACGGCATCCATCCGTGAAACTGCGGCAAACGTGTCAGGAGTCAGGCGAATGTGCACGGCGCGAAGGCGACAACCACATTTTGAAAACCTCTTGCCCTCCATCGGTGAAGCTCTTGCCAACTTTCAAAGCACACCTGCGCGGCGCCAAAGCGAGAGCCACACTCTGAAAGCCATCCGCTCTCCATCCGTGAAACGGGCGGGAGTTTTTGCGTGCCGCCAGGAGGAGGAGGAGGAGGAGGAGGAGGAGGAGGAGGAGGAGGAGGAGGAGGAGGAGGAGGAGGGGGCGAGAGTCACATTCAGAAGAGGACCCGCCCTCCGTCCGTGAGGCCGTTCCAGCTTCCAAGAGTCGGGAGCATACCGGCGGCACGCCCGGCTCCCCCCACCGACACGCCTGGGGGGTGCGGCGCCACGTGCAGGCGGCCCGACCCTGCCGGATCGAGGGCACCCTCGCGTCCTGCGTCTTGCGACCAATGCCTCCTGCATTTCTGTGGCAGCGTGGCCCTCGGAAGGGTCTCGTGTCCTCTCGCGTGTCCCCTCTCCAGTCAAGTCCGGCGGTAGAAGCAAGGATGGACGGAGGCACGAGGAGGCAGGAGGGCCACCTTTGGGGTCTGCTCCTCGGATCTCGGTCGGGGCACCCGCTCGTCGTCGAGGCTGGCCGTGGCCAGAAAACAGCCCCCCTCGTTTTGTTGTGCTGTTGAGCTCGTTGGTAGTGCGGTCGGGCCGAGGCATACAAGCTCGAGGTCGGCTCGGCGAGGGTGCCCTGATGTTCTTGGTGTTTGTTGGCTGATCTTGTGCGTCCTGGGGGAGTGTACCCTGCGAATGCTCTTCTGTTTGGCCAGCGGGGCCTCTCAGGTGCTTCAAGGGAGTTGTCCGAGGTCTGACTGTAGCGCGACGACTGCAGGACCTGCTGGGAGGAGCATCGAACCAGCCCGCTCGAACGGGGCTGCGGGACCCACCCGGTCTCTTCCCCATAGCACAAGAGCCAATGCTGGCACATGCAGTCGGACCGAGGCCTAGGATCGAGGCCGGTTCGGGGAGGGTGCCCTCGTGTTCTTGTGGATCTTCCTGTGCATCCTGGGGGAGGGCACCCTCGGGTGCTCTTAAGCTTGGGGAGCTTTGGCCGGCCGAGGGTCTCATGCTCTGAAGTGATGCTCTTCTGGCCCAGGCCCGACCGTACGGAGGCTGGCGCGCAGAGAGCTCGCGCGCGAGCGTTTCCCCGCTGCCGACGGCTCGGTGGAGGGGCGGCACGGCGGGAGCGGCTCGCCACGGGGGAAGCGGGCAGCCGAGAGGAGCGGGTCTTTCGGGGTCCTCCGCGGGCCCTCGGGCTGCCAGAAGACAATTCAGGGTCGAGCAGTGGCGAAGCGTCCTGGCTCTCCTATGGCCCTACCAAACACTGTTCTAAGAACCTTTTTTTTTGTTTTTTTTTTTTTTCACGAAATGTTCTTAGAACATTTCTGGCGGAGAGTGTTATGTTTTAGCCCATGGGGTTGATGTTCTAAGAACATTGTTTTTAGTTTCGGAACATTTTTGGGTTCTGAGATCATTACTATAGGAATGCCGGGACGGTCGGTCCCTGCTCAATAGGATGAACAAGTGGTCCTGAGGTAAGGCCCTGGGGCCCAGGAGCCGTTTCCCTCAGGGCCCGTTTCTGTCGTACTAAGCGGCGGACCCGCAGGGACGACACATCGATCGATTTGGCTCGATTCGTTGCACGTTGTGTGCGTAGCGTCGTTGCCCGCGCCTGATTTGTCCAACTCCTTTGCCGCATTGGGGGGGGAGGGGCGCGGTGCTTCTTTCAATTCCCTCAGGCGTGCGCCTGCGTGCCGTCTTGTTCGCAGTTCTGGCCCACGCGCGTTGTTGTGCGGTTGGTGTCGCGCTTGATTCAAGTCGCGGGGGAAGGTGGTGAATGCTGTTCCTTATATCGGGCCGAGCGAAAGGGGGGGATGGGGAAAAGGGGGGTTACGAAATATGCTGCATGCAGCTGGTTTCGGTCCTGCCGCCAGGCCCATTCTCGATACATGTGCGCCTCCTGGCGCCGGGAGGCGCTGGGAAAATCAGCCACGTTGGCTGATTCTCTACCCTACCCTTTGCTATCCCCCCTTTCGTCGGCGTCACCCTAACATACTTGTACTATATGTGCGTCGCCCCCCCCCCCCCCAGGGGCGACGCGCGCACCGAGAAGTCTTCTAGTATATGCGTCGTGGCGGGCGCTTTCTGGCCACACCGCTCGGGAAACGATGTACTACAAGACGGGTGTACTATATGTTCGGGTCGGAGGCGCGAAGCGAGGACACGTAGTATTGACATGTCTCTGTGCGTCCCAGGCCATGTCGCCCCCGCGAGACCTGCAGGTGCAGGCAGATCCGCGCGTCGGCGTGAGAGGGAGCACCACCAGGACGCGGCAGGGTAGCCAGATCGAGCGAGCCAGCGGGCCCCGCGTTTCCCCGCCCCCCCTCCCACTCAAGCAGTGGCGAAGCGTCCTTGCTTGCCTATAGGCCCCCCGAAGAACGTTGCAAGGACCTCTCGTGGGCTGCACGGCATGTCCTCAGAACATGCCTGGCCGAGACTGCCCTGTGT